CCCCAAAACCCCAAAACCCCAAAACCCCAAAACCCCAAAACCCCAAGTGCTATATATTATTGAAAATTGGGAAAATATAATGAACGATAAAACTTATCTGGAAAGCGATGCTTCTAACATTGATGATGTCCCTGAAGAGGGAAACATCAACAAGTCTTGAGTAGACTCTTCTAAATTAAGGATCAAGAATTCTCTTGTTGAGAATAAAGGAAGAGTCAGAGATAAGCAAGTATTTTGTGACGAGCTCAAGAGTCTTACTAAGAGAGGAGTCTTCGCTAAGAGGTATTTCATCATTCTTACTTAGTGAGCAGTTTATTTTGTGTTGATTATTCATATTACGGATTTGTACAAAATGTTATCAACCCAACATTTTTCAGGAGAATTGTACTCTTATTTTAGTTCCAATTAGTGAGATAGTTTCTTAGCCAAATCCAAAAATCTATAATCGAGGATAACACGTTTCCTATAGGATGAAATTTAAGGCAGAGAAGCTGAAACCTCTGGAGATAGTGAAGATTAACGGTGCAACCCCTCAGTCTGTAAGTAAAATAGTTTCTTAATTGAGAGCAACTTCTTGGAGTATCACAATAGTTTATTTACTTAATAAAAATATCAACTTCGTATTGAAACATTCTTTCTGACGCTCTACTTACTTTTGAGGTTCGATGTAGTGCTATGAGGTTTTAATATTTTTATAGGCAATGGTAGCTCCTAATGAGCTTTGCAAAAAATTAAACTTCTCTGAAGATGAAGAACAGTTTGGTGGCTTACTTAAGAATGAGAGTTGCAGATTTTCAAGAGTGAAATCAAGAAAAATTCCTTCTCATAAGATGATGGCTGTTGTTTTGTCGCATATAAAGGCAAAAGAAAATAATAATTTATCATAAAATAAGTGGTTTCTAAATTTCGTTGCTACCCTAGTTTCCTCTTTAGAAAACTTTATTAAACCGAACTATTTAGGTTTCAGGCTCAATTAGTTAGGAAGTTCAGAGTGAATCGATTCTGAACGAAAATGCATCCATATACTTAGCTGTGATACAAAAGCCTAAATATCTTTTCAAGATTAGGTGCAGTTAGCTTCATAGTTTAGGTTTACTTACTTTTCTTTAAGTTTGCTCATACCATCTACTTCCTGGGCAATTATAAAATGAAACTTTCATAAATTCTGGGTTTAGTACTATATGAATTTTCGCTCAGATTCGAAAGTAAAATGCTTGAAGACTTTCAGAATTGATATAAATTACTCTGACCAATATTTAAAGCTGAAAATTATTTGATCCATTCATTCTGAATTTTTATTTTATGAGAAACCCTAGCATTTGAACCCCCAAACAACTAAATGTCTCCTCCTTTATTGCATCATTTGAATAGACAACACTCTCTATGGAACATTTCCCTTGTTCAGTGAGGCCTAATGCTCTTCTAAAATACCTTCTAACCGAATCTAGGTGGCTAAATTTAGATTGGTGCTTGTTGGTTGGCTCACCAAGGTTAGTACATTACCATTTTGTATGATTTTTAAGCATCAATCTGGTTTACCAATTTGGGGTTTTGGGGTTTTGGGGTTTTGGGGTTTTGGGGTTTTGGGG